GTCTTGAGACAGACTCTGGAGTAAAGATTGTTGTCTATAAGTGGAGGTTCAGTGCAGAGTACACTTTCATTATGAGTAATAGTGTCTAACTAGTAACTCTCTTTATTTTTTATAAGGGAAAAGTTCAGATTTGTCCTTCTACTTTTGGATGGTATTCAAACAAAAATATTCCTACCATTAGCAAACTTATCACATATACCCTTTATTCTAACGGATGTTCCTACCCAGATTCCAAAATGCCACCTTGATGCCTTGTGTGTATTTATTTTCCAACTTTTATTAGAATAAATAACCAACCCACTTTGAAAAGAAAAGAAAAAATTCACCAAACCCACTAAATTATATTCTACTCCTTCCCATCTATAACAAAAAACCACCACGCTGTAAAATCTTAGTTTTTCAAAGAGAAGAAAAACATAACAATGAATTTCAAATTTGCCATGGATTCTCAGAAATAAAATCTACGGCAGATGAAAAGAATTTAGTCACTAGGAATTATTGGGAATAACAAAGAACCCTACTTGGATATGCTTTTCTGGAAGAGAATTAAAGTAAACGAGTCTAAATAAAGTTCTATCACAAGGAAACCATTCATGTGATTTGCAGAATCTGCTCTAAAACGTTAGGTGTATTTTTTTAAAAAGAGTTTTTCTTGATATTCTTTAGTATTATTTTAGCATTTCTATGATTTTTTTGGAGGAAGATTTCATAAATCTTGGAACTTTCACTGATTGATACTTTGGGATCTTTGTATTTCAGATTGGAGTCTAACATGAAAAGTGACTGGGCAGGGAAAGTAGTAAATTTGGAAAATATAACTTTTTTCTCTAGCGAGAAACTGTAAAATAATTTTTCTAAAGTGTAAAAGAATAAAGCATGGGTGGTGTTATTAGAAAAACACTAACTTGATTAAAGTTGTAGAATCTGCAATTATTTTGAACGGAAAAGAGTTATATGTGTCCTTGTACTATTAAATATTAGTTATATGTACCCCTTGTTATACTATTCGATGCTTTCTACCCCTACCGTTACCCATTTAAATATGTTTACCCTCCATTTAACGGTCCCATTCTGGGTCGACATGTGGCGGCATTTTAAACACCCTAACCCATTTTCCTCACTAATACCAAAACCCACTTGAAAAATCTAAACCCGTTCAACCTCCTCCATTATAAAGTACAACCATAACCACCTCTCGACCTACACAGAACTACCACATCTTTCCACCAAAAAATAATTGTGCGTCAAACATTCCATATTTGAGAACTTTTCACAAACACCCATAACTAGTAGATCATAATAATCTCTAATCTAACACCATAATTTTCACACAATCTCCTTCCTTCCAAAAACCACCTTGTTCCTAAGCTAGAAACTCCACCACCAGTTCACCTTCCACCTTAATTATTCTTCATCTGCTTCGTAATAACCTGAATAAACTAGCAATCTTACCTTAAAAAATGAGCACCCTTTAATCGCACCACCATTATATTATCCACATACAACCACCTTCATCCACCAATAATCAACGTGTTACAAACACCAGAGAAAAAATCACATCATAAAGAAAAGTGCGAAGTAAATAACGAAAGAAGGGGGTGCCAACTCTATGGCATGCTACGTGGCGTCCACCTCACCCAAATGTCAGGATATGTGGTGCAATGCTGTGACTCCTAGACCTTCATTAGAGTGAGGGGGCATATGTGATAAGTTTGCTAATTGTGACATTATTTTGTTTGAATAGTATAACGATGACAGTATTTTTGTTTGAATAATATAATGGAAGTTAAATGTAAACTATTTCTAAAAGTAAATGGATAAATCTGGCCTTTTCCCTTTTTATATTAAAATGAGTGGAGAAATTTGGAGAATATGCTTTTTAATATTTTTCTTTTCCTTTTACTTTTCATGTTGTGTATTTATCTATCTCTATTATATTAAAAGCACGAATGTCCTTAGCGAAATGTCGTTCGCCTTTTTTAGCCTTTATAACATAGAGTTCACATTGGACAATATAGTAATTTAAGTATTTCATTAATATTTAATAAAAATTGAACAATTTTGGAATGTTCACGATATTATTTGGTAAATTTTTGCTAGAATTATTTGTTATTAAATTTTGCTTTACTTATTTGTTATAATTTTTCTTCACGTTTCTTACACAAGGAAAGTTAATAAATTTTTTTCCCTAAACTTTCGCCTTCCCTTTACTCCACTGTAAATGACTTATTTTGTTTGCATTAATTATTTGCTAAAATTTTTCTTCACGTTTCTTACACAAGGAAAGTACATAAAAATAATTTCCTATACTTTAGCTACTTGGTTCAATCTCATTAACTGACCGTATGTGTATTTGACTTTGGTTAAACTCCCTACTCTTTGGAGTAGTAAATATTTGGTAATTTTTTTGTACACTAGAATAGTTAATAACTTTTTTCCTAAACTTTTACTACTTTGTTCAACTCCCAATAATGACTTTATTTGTCATACAAGGAAAGTAAATACGCACGTACACTAGGAAATTTTGTAGTTAGATTGTCCAAGAGCATATTGTATAGGTCCAAATTTGGATGACCACGGCTACTGAAGAATACGACAAGAGACGAGATCCTTACGACACATCGTCCTGTGGCCGTTGAAGATGGCGACGATTGATAGCGGTTAGAAGACACACGACTTTTGTAGTAGTGTAGGTACAACAGGAGGCAGTAGGAATATATTCTCTATGATATATCTTTTAGGGTTCAAGAGAGGGTTGTCCTTTATAAATAGGAGGGAAAGACTTTGTAAAGACGACTGACTTTTGGCTAAGAGCATCCATTATAAGATCTTTCTACAAAAAAGTTGTCAGATGGACGCTTAATCATTCAGTTTCATGACATCAAGAAACATTATTCATCTTATTCATCCCTTGTGTCGTTCAATCTAGAGTTTATTGTACTTGGCTGAGATTTACCTCTTCATCTTCTTTAATTGATTTAATCAAAAAAGTTTCAATATCTTTTGGGTCAAACAATTTGGCGCCGTCTGTGGTAGGGGTGGGCATTGGTCGATTCGGTTATGAATATTATCGGTTTAGCATATCGGTTATCGGTTTACAAATATGATAAACCTATAACCAAACCGATAAGATTTTAGTTATCGGTTATCGTTCATTATCGGTTCGGTTATCGATTTACCCGATAAGATAACTCAATCTAGAGTTGAACAAAAAAGAGAAGTCAATTCACTCGAGTTAAGCAAAAAAGAGAAGAATTCACATATAGTATACTACCCAATTATGCGTTCTAGCCACAACTAATATTTGAAGCATGTTTCATTTTGACAAATTCATGATCTGTGCAATCTCAAAAATTGATACTACAACTCCACAAGCATTTCATCTCCAATTCACAGGAAATATTAGTTAACAGGAACACCAATTACAACTTTTTGGTTTCTTGCCAGACCATAATCAAGAGATCAATGTCATTTTCCAGAGTCCAATTGTAGCAAGAGCAACAAGAGTACTAGTAATTCAATAGTTGTCCAAACACTATTGAAATAGTGTTAGTTCTTCAACAACAGTTGTCCAAATACATTAATAACAATACAAAGTAGTAGCAATTTCACCTTAAAATTAACAAGTACAAACATAGTACTAAAATATGAGCACAAAATAAAGAATCGAAAACAATCAAAAATCCTATTTTTTATTATCGGACTCTACTGTAAAACTCTAAAGAAAGGAACGAAATTTTTTCTTAACGAAGAAGTAATTTTGGAATACAAATTTACGCTAAGATTCTAAGAATGTGGTTGTACTTTGAATTTTGAAGAAGAACTGTTCAAGAATTGAATCAGAGTCTGAAGAGTGAAATGGACATTTTAATCTTGAATGTGGCTGGGAAAATTGGGAGAAAAAGAGAGAATGAAGCCCTATATGTATTCATATACTTAATTGTAAAATCCTAATTTTATTAAATGTTATTGGGTTATCGGTTAATCCGTTAAGAAATTGGATAAACCGTGGCTTGAACCGATAACCCAATAGTGAAAAAATACAAAACCGTTACAGAACTGTTAACCCAATAACCCGATATCGATACCCCAATAAGCTTTTTTCGGTTTGGGCTATCGGTTATACCCGATATATGCCCAGCCCTAGTCTGTGGGGATTTCTTTAACTAAGATTTTAGTTTCATCTAGACTCCTGAAAGGGATAATCACCTTTTTCTAGCTTGGTACAAACCAACAATGGCAGGGAAAGGAGATGCAAGGCAAAAAGCAATAGTAGGCGTCACAACCAACCTCCTAGACACGATAAACGAAGATAGCAGAGAGGATAACGAAAATGAAACACCAAACACCACACCCGGGGGAGACGCTTCATCTCCCCCGTGCGAGAGGGAAGCATCCACATCTGCAATAGGAGAGGCACCAACGGCAGTAAGACTGCTAGAAGAATGGCTAACAAGTTCTCTGAACACCATACTTGATAAACCCTGCCAAAGGGATAACGGGAATGTTGCACATGCAGATGTCACGATAAACGCTGATGAGCAAGACGCCCTTCGTACAGGTAACACTTACGTTGCTAATGATGCAGGAAATGATGCACTTGCAGTCGTTTTAAAGAAAATGGAGGAGATGAAAAATGAGAATAAGGCTCTCCGTGACCAAATGAAGGAACACCAAGAGAGGGTCGACAAAATACCAGGCGCTCCAAAGTTGCTGCCAAAACGTGATTTTGGTCGATTCATCGAGAAACCATACAGTGAAGAAGCGACCCCCTACACCATTCCAAATACCTTCAAATTGCCTCCCTACTTAAAGATATATGATGGTACTACTGATCCAGAAGATCATATCATCCACTACGTTACAGCCCTAAAAGGTAACGATCTTTCAAAGAGCATGTACCATCGGTGCTATTGAAAAAGTTAGGCGAAATCCTAACAGAGGGAGCCTTGACATGGTACTCTCAACTACCAGCACGATCGATAGCAACGTTCGAGGAAATGGCAGACAAATTCGTCACCGCCCACGCAGGAGCCAAAAAGGCAGAAGCTAGGGTAAATGATATATTTGTCGTAAGACAGATGCACGACGAGGGACTTAGGGACTTCTTAGCTCGGTTCAACAGGGTGAGAATGAGCTTGCTGAATGTGTCAGAAGGAATGGCAGTAGCAGCCTTCCAGAACGGATTAAATAGAAACGGGTCGAGAGCGACCAGAAAATTGCTAAGCAGGCTCATGAAATACCCTCCAACTACTTGGGAAGAAATCCATAATGCCTACTGCACCGAGGTACGAGCCAACGAGGAAGAGCTCAACGGTCCGACCCAACGGCTGACGTCACTTCAAACTGAAGCAAGGAAATATCGTCGCAACGACGATCGAAGAGATCAGTTGGGACCCCGCCTCGGTCGGGAGAGGCATCAACACTATGTTAGGACGTCTCCCCCGCCTCCACCATGGCACACGGATGCTCCTCCTCGATATACAGCACCATATCGACACGAGAAAGGTATGCCTCCACTCCTATCCGCTCACAATTTTCGTATTTATCCTTCAGAAATAGTGTACGCCCTAGAGAAACTCGGTCCAAAGGTGCAATGGCCGCAAAAGATGAGGTCAGACCCCAGCACTCGGAAGTCGAGTGCTTTTTACCGATTTCACCAAGAAAGGGGTCACAAAACCAAAGATTGCATAGGACTACGACAGGATATAGTACGAATGTTAAGCCAGGGACATCTGAAAGAGTTGCTGAGCGATCGAGGACGGGATAACTTTGCCCGCGGACGCGAACAGCCCCAAGGACCTCCAAAACCGCCTTATCCCGCTCACACCGTACAAATGATCATCGGTGGGGGCGATGGCGCAACAATCAATCATGTCAAGTTCACCACCACACATAAACTCAAACGATCAATCACCCATGAACGGTATGATGACCTCGAAGACAGTATCATCTTCGATAAGTCAGATGCCGACGGTTTGTCTTTCCCTCACTATGATGCTCTTGTTATCACTTTACCTATTGCAGATACTGATGTAAAAAGAATAATGGTAGATGACGGGAGCGACGCGTGTACTATCCATCCTTGAGTCCTCGTGCAGATGAGACTCGAAGATAAAATAATACCACGCTGCATAACGCTAACAGGTTTTAATAATGCAGTTGAACAGACTTCTAGAGAGATAGTGTTACCCACCCTAGCCGGAGGGGTCACCCTGGAAACGACATTTCACGTCATGAACTAGGAAACAACTTACAATGCCATCATAGGGTTCCCGTAGATACACGCCATGCGAGCGGTCCCTTCCAGTCTCTATCAAGTGATCAATTTTCCTACCCCATGGGGAATATTCAACATCTGAGGAGAGCAACGCACCGCACAAGAATGCTATCGCATCTCCCAAGATTGCGCACACACCCAATAACTCAAAGGAGCAAATGCGGAAGCATAACAGTCAGCGGTGTCGGGAGCCAAACTTGACGTACGGACATACATTATCAAGGACCCCGACATCGCGGAAACATCCAAGTCAATGATAGAAAATCTTGATCCTGTCCCGCTAGATGGCAATGACAGCACAAAAAAGGTTTATATCGAGCACAACCTCTCGGAACCAGGTAGGTTTCATAAGTTCTTGACTGACCATGCTGATCTATTTGCCTTCTCCCATGCAGATATGCCAGGTATTCCAAAGGATATCTCCACACACAAGTTAAATGTCGACCCCCTTTACCCGTCGGTACGACAAATAAGAAGGAAGTTCAACACCGCGATCAACGAAGCCATCAGCGAAGAAGTCGATAAGCTACTCGCAAATGGCTCCATCCGAGAGTCAAAATACCCTCAGTGGGTCACCAATGTGGTCATGGTGAAAAAGAAAAACGGAAAGTGGCGGATGTGCATAGATTTCACGGATCTAAACAAGGCCTGTCCAAAAGATTCTTTTCCGTTGCCACACATCGACCAGCTCATCGACGCAACAGCAGGACACGAGTTGCTAAGCTTCTTGGATGCCTACTCGGATTACAACCAAATCCTCATAGAAGAAGAAGATCACTCACCAAGGAACGTACTACTATAAGGTTATGCCGTTCGGACTAAAGAATGTAGGGGCGACGTATTAGAGATTGGTCACCAAGATGTTCAAAAGCCAACTCAGTAAAACAATGGAAGTATACATCCACGACATGCTGGTCAATTCAAAAAGGAAAGAAGATCATATCAATCATCTCAAGGAAGCCTTCGACATATTAAGACGGTACGACATGAAATTGAACCCCGAAAAATGCGCCTTCTGCGTAAGCGCGGGAAAGTTCCTCGGTTTCCTGGTATTGCAACGGGGCATCGAGGTCAACCTAGAACAGATTAAGGCCATCAAAGGAATACCCGAAACACTAAACAACAAAAAGCAGGTATAAAAATTGACGGGACGGATAGCCGCCTTGTTAAGGTTCATCTCACGGTCATCAGATAGATGCCATAAATTCTTTAACGTATTGAGGAAAGACAATGGACTTCAGTGGAATTCAGAATGTGTCGACGCCCTAAGGAAACTAAAAGCATACTTGTCTTCGCCACCCTTACTCCCCAAAGCAGATCCAGGCGAGTGCCTCCTAGTATACCTAGCCGTATGCGAAGTCACAGTAAGTGCAGTTCTAGTCCGAGAAAACAAAGGTACGCAATCTCCAATTTACTATATCAGCAAAACCTTAATTGATGCCGAAACAAGGTACCCTCACCTTGAAAAACTGGTTCTAGCGCTAGTTGTAGCTTCACGAAAGCTTAGACCATATTTTCAGTGCCACCCCATAAAGGTGGTGAGAACCTTTCCTCTCAGGAGTATCCTGCACAAACCCGAATTGTCGGGTCGGCTGGCCAAATGGGCCATAGAACTAAGCGAGCACGATATAACATATCAACCGTGAACCTCAATAAAGTCGCAAGTGCTCGCCGACTTCGTCGCCAACTTCAGCGCAGAGATAGTGCCCGAAGTCAAGCAAGAAGCGCTTCGCACTTCATTTGAATGACCCGACCTCTGGGTCCTCTACACCGATGGCGCGTCCAACGCGTCGGGATCGGGACTGGGACTCGTACTCGAAGTCACAATGGGCGAAGTAATTCGCCAATCTGTACGATGCCCTGAAATGACTAATAATGAGGCCGAGTATGAGGCCGTAATTGCATGATTGAAATCGGCCCTCAAGTATGGTGCTCGGCAGGTCATACCTCCGCTCCGACTCTCAGCTCGTGGTAAGTCAAGTTACTGGAACTTTCCAGATTAAGGAGTAGAGGTTGTAGAAATACCAGACCAAAATCCACAAACTGCTGCCAGAATTCGAGAATGCCGATTCGACCAAATACCCTGAGCACAAAACATCGAACCAGACGATCTCGCCAAGCTGGCAGCACCAACTAAAAACATCACCAAGGAGAACGTGGTCACCCTCCTCCACTCATCAATAGACCAAGTCGAGGTACATTCTATAAATCTAACTTGGGACTGGCGTAATCGCATCATATCATATCTACAGGAAGGAACACTCCCACAAGATAAAAAAGAAGCGAAAAAGCTCCGAATACAAGCGGCCCGATACAGTCTCATAAACCACGACCTTTACAAAAGGACGTTCGATTGCCCGTTAGCCAAATCCCTTGGACAAAATTAGACTAGGCGTGTGCTCGAAGAGGTACACGAAGGCCACTGCGGTTACCATACCGGCAACCGAGCCCTCGTTAGGTGTCTTATTCGTGCAGGATACTACTGGCCCACTATGAAAAAAGTGGCCGCGGAGTACATCAAGAAATGTGAACAATGCCAAAAATACGCCCCTATAATACACCAGGCGGGGGAACTCCTGCATTCCGTCACCTCTTTATGGCCATTTATAAAATAGGGGATGGATATCGTCGAGCCCCTCCCAGCAGGGCGAGGTAAGATACGCTTCCTTTTGGTTTTAACTGACTACTTTTCAAAATGGGTGGAAGCAAGTGCGTTCGCTCATATATGCGAACAAGAAGTCATTGCGTTCATCTGGAAAAATATCATATGCCGCTTCGACATCCCCAAAGAAATCAACTGTGACAATGGACCCCAGTTCGTCGGGAAAAAGACGACTGAGTTCTTTTCAAAAAATGACATATCAAGCGGATACTCTCCACGCCATATCATCTTGCCGTCAACGGTCAAGCGGAATCCTCCAATAAAATAACATTAAACATATTAAAGAAAAAGCTTGAAGATGCCAAAGGGCTATGACCCGAACTGCTACCGGAGGTACTATGGGCCTACCGCACAACGTCGAAGACCAGCACGGGTGAGACGTCATATTCATTGGTCTACGGCACTGACACAGTCATACCCGTTAAGGTCGGGGAACCTAGCTTGAGATACTCCAATGAGAGTGGATTAAGCAACGATGAAAGCAGATTACAAGACCTGGATGAGGTCAAAGAACGAAGGGATATGGCACACATAAGGATGGTGGCCCAAAAACAACAAGCAGAAAGGTACCATAACAAGAAGGCCAAAGTACGACCGCTCAGAGTCGGGGACTACGTACTAAAGGCCAAAACGCAAGCAGCGAAGGACCCGAATGAAGGGAAATTGGGAACAAGCTGAGACGGGCCGTATAAAATCACAGCACAAGCAAGCAAAGGAGCATTCCAGTTAGAAACAATGGAAGGAAAACTACTACAAAATAGCTGGAATGTATCCCACCTCAACTTCCACTTCTAAAAAGAGACGCCGCCCAAGTCGTAGTCTTTTTCCCTCGCCCGGGTTTTGTCCCAATCGGGTTTTCTCGGGGAGGTTTTTAATGAGGTGACGAGGGGGACGTCTCGAGGTTCGAAGTATTGTTCATTGCCTCGCCTACTGATTACATATCAAGGCCAAACAATGAAGGGACTAGATATAAAGAATCTCCATTATATGTACGAAATCGACATGTATATCCGACATATGAATAAAATCACTCCATTATGTATACAAAATCAACACTCTTCTCCAATGTATGAATGAAACTGGCATCTACGATACTCCAACAAATAAAATAGAACGCCACACTTACGACGAGATATTACTTTGGCACCAGCTTGAAAGTAACATCCCAATGGCTAAGGCCATCAACAAAAAATGAGTTCGACATCACTCGAACCACGATGGGATATTACTTCGGCACCAGCTCGAAAGTAACATCCCAATGGCTAAGGCCATCAACAAAAAATGAGTCCGCCATCACTCGAACCACGACGAGATATTACTTCGGCACCAGCTCATAAGTAACATCCCAATGGCTAAGGCCATCAATGAAAAATGAGTTCGACATCACTCGAACCACGATGGGGTGTTACTTCGGCACCAGCTCGAAAGTAACATCAGAATTGCTAAGGCCATCAACAGAAAAATGAGTTCGACATCATTCGAACCACGAAGGGATATTACTTCGGCACCAGCTCGAAAGTAATATCCTTACGGCTAAGGCCGTTGCTAACAAAAAGAGTTCAACTAAATATTTTAACAAAGCTTCGGATTAAGGTGACTGCAGCAAAAGTCATCGTCAAATAAACCGAAGAAAGGAAACAGCAACTCAGAGATACACGACCAAAAAGACTTTCATTACAACAAATATATTAAAAATACTTGTACTTACAGAAGGCTCAAAGACGCCCTTACAAAAATTGCGAAGCAAAAAATAAGTACAAACCAAATACTACACATCATTTCCGGTGGCATACATGTCTTCATACCAAGAGTTAGAGGCAAGTCTGTTTGCATCATCAGAATTAATATCATCTCCGTCAGGCGTGAGAGGATCGTGCCCGCATGTCTCACGAGCTAAACGGGCCTTGGCACACACATCCCGAAGCTCTACTTTAGATGCCGTCCCGTCAATATAAAGAGTTGTACACATCGAGTCGGGCTTCGGCGTAAACCCACAGCTCATACAAATGTCGAGGCACGACAGGGTCAGCTGAAGCATGAGATGTACAAGGCTGCGACTGTCGTTGTACGACCTTCGCTTTCAAAGAAGCCA